GACTGACTGTGAGGGTTGGAAATGTATAGGTAGATGTTTTTTGACCAAGAGTATAAGAAGAGCAGAGAGCATGAGAAGAGCAAAGAGGCAGTGACGCCAGGGATGGAGACAGACACAATGATGTGGACAGATGGAGCGGCTGAAGACACAGGACTCAGGGAGTGGGAGGGGCTGTGTGCTGACAGCCTTGGGGGCTGGCGGGGGGAGAAACGACATGTGGGGTGTATCCTTTGGTTATTTGATGATGCATGGAGGGGACTGTAATCATTGCAATGAAACAAAATACGATAGGATGAATGTAAAACTGATGTTCTCCCATGTAAACCCACATAAGTCACAATAAAAATTAAAAAAAAAGAGTTAAACATTTCTCTTTGCTTCTATCTTAAAAAAAAAAAGCGTAGCGGTTACGAGTTGGGCTGCTAACCTCAAGGTCAGCAGTTCGAAACTACCAGCTCTCCTGTGGGAGAAAAATCGAGGTTTTTCTGCTCCCGTAAAGATTTACAGCCTTGGAAACCCTATTCAGGGTGGCTATAACTTGGGACTGACTCTATGGCACACCACCACCAAAGACAACTTACTTTAAGGAATGTTAAATATAACCCAAAACTAAAAAAATTTTTAATACTTCTATTGGGCAAAAAAATAGTTGCTTGTAATATACACAGATATTTTTGCTTAACAGGATTTTAGTTGTCTTATTTCTGAGACTATGATTTTGACACCTCCATTCAGTTCAAAAGTACCAGCCATTCTGCAGGAGAAAGATGAGGCTTTCTGGTCCTGTAAAGATTTACAGCCTCGGAAACCCTGAGCAGGGTCATTATGAGTCAGAACAGACTCCATGGTACTTAACAACAACATTTCTGAATCCTGGTTTTTCAGAGCTTTGTTCTACTTGAAACTACAAGCATGGGTTATTTCTCCAAATCCAGTTTTAATATCTTCTGGAATTAAGTACACCGTGAGTCAGAATAAATATTATTTATTAATATGGTTTTCCTATATGATGTAAGAAAAAGGGAGTAGTAGTAAGCAGTTCTGTAAACTCAAAGCACAAAACTTTTAAATTTACTTATTTATTCCAGAGAATTCACTTTGGCAGAAAAAAAAAAGTGATACTCTGTATTGGCAAGGATGCAGTGGAACCAGTTTTTGATGAGTTTAACTGAGAATATAGCTTTTGTGTATGGTAATATTGCACTAAGAAAGATTTAAATATGCATATACACATCCTACAATCCAGCAATTTCCCATCTAGATATCTAGCTTGGAAAACTACTGCCTCATGTAGGTCTGTAAACAGTATGATGGAAGGATCTCCAGGAACACTGTAACTGGAAATAAGGGAAGTTAAAGAATAAAGTGTAATAGATCATTTATGTAAAAAGGGGCAAACTAAAAGCTCAAACACAAAATAAATAAAAACCAAGAAACCCAAACCCATTAACATTAAGTTGAGGCTCTCATATAATAAATAGAAACTGTATGTAGGGTTTCCAAGGCCGTAAATCTTTATGGGAGAAGTAAATCTCCTTTCTCCACAGACAGCTGATGGATTTGAACTGCTGACCTTGAGGTTAGCACTCCAACATATATGTTGTTGCTTAGTGCTGTTAAGTTAGTTGATCCAAGAAAAATGTAGTCTTTGACAACTTCAATCTTTTCTCCATTGATAAGAATGTTGTCTATTGGTCCAGTGGTGAGGACTTTTGTTTTCTTTATACACACACACACACAAATTATATGTGGAATCCTAGTCTAGTGTTGTAGAATAAGCACTAGCCTGCTAACTGCAGGTTGGTGGTTCAAACCCACCAGCCACTCCTCAGAACTCCTATATAGGATGGCTATGAGACAATGTTACACTTCATCCTACTCTGGGGAGCAGTTATTGGGGTTTTTAAAGCTTTCCAGCAGCCATCTATTGATCTCTTCCCATTCAAAGCAAAGAAGAGTGAAGAAAATCAAAGACCCAAGGAAACAATTAGTCCAAAGAACTAATGGACCACACAAATCACAGCCTCTACTAGACTGAAACCAGATGAACTAGATGGTGCCTGCCTACTACTACCAACTGTCTTTGATGAAGATCACAGAAGGTACTGGGCAGAGTGGTAGAAAAATAGAGAACAAAATTCAACTATCACATAAATGATCAGACATTACTGGTCTGACAGAGACAGATGAAACCAGCCAATTCCAGTTATTTTATCTAAGTGGGATCATGTATTGTTTGTCCTTTTATGACTGATTTGTTTCACTCAGGATAATATTTTCAAAGTTCATCTATGTTGCAGAATGTATCAGGACTTCAATTCTCATGAAAGCCAAGTAATATTCCAATGTATTTATGTTCCGCCTTTTGTTTATCCATTATCTGTTGACAGTCACTTCAGCTGTTTCCATCTTTTAGCTACTGTACACAGTGCTGCAGTGAATATTGGCACACCAAGTGTCTACTTATGTCCCTACTTTCCTATATCTAAAAATGGAATTGCTGGATCATATGATAGTTCTAGTTTAACTTTCTGAGGAACCACCAAACTGTTTTCTACACCAGCTGTACCATTTTACCATTCCACCAGCACGGATGACGGTTCCAATTTCTCCACAGCTTTGCCAACACTTGTTTTTTCTTATCCTAGCCTTCCTAATAGGAATGAGATGGTATTTCATTATCACTTTGAGCTACATGTCTCCAATGACTAAACATTAAACATCCTTTTATGTGCTTGCTGGCTATGTATATCTTCTTTGATGAAACATCCATTAAAGCCTTTGTCCACTTATTGATTAGGTTTTTTCTCTTTTTGTTTCTACATTATAGTTTGATATATAGTCTGGAAATTAAACCCTTATCCAATATGGTTCCTCAAATTATTTTTACGGATGCTTTATAGAATCCATAAATGATTAGTCCTCATGTGGTGTTGTGGGTTAAGGCACTGGGATGCAAAGTCAATTTGAACCACAAGGTTGGTCATTCAAGCTCACCAGGTGCTGCTCAGAAACCCGATATAGATAGGGTCACTATGGGTCAGAACTGACTTGACAGCACTTAACAACAACAATGCTTTACAATGATTTAAGAAAGAAAATATCAAGGCTTTTAAAAAATATATTTACTTGCTTTATGAGGAATATGCAAAACAACAAATTCATAGAAGTTCTTTCTAAAGTGGCTTTATCATTAAACAAATCTTACCTTTAGCTCTGCTTGTATGAACCCTTGCACGCACCCAGACAACTGCATCAGCTTTTTGTACTGTCAAGTCTCTAACCCGAACCAAAACTCGATCTGCAGTGAGTAAGCAAAACAATTTTATAATTCACAAGTTACAGAGATAATTATTTGAAGTAGTGTAAGTACTTGTTATTATCTTAAATAATAATTCTCAAATCTTTGACACCACAATCTTCTCTATCACCTTCCATATGTAATTTGGTTCACATTCTGTGAATTGTACTTCTAGTCAGAGAGTAAGCTGTCTACCACAATTGGACAATCCAGTACTGTACTGCCCAGGACATAGGCTGATTCAGGGAAGGGCATGTTACTCACACTAAGCTAATCAAGAGTTTACACACAGATGCTGGGAATGAGTTGCTAGGCTGAGCTGACACAGGGCCAGGATTGCAGTTACCATCTTAACACCAGTAGTCTGCATGAAGAGAGAATGAGGTCACTACCCTAAAAGAACAGACAAGTGGCAGAGAAAGCAAGGACTGAAAATGCTCCTTGTGCCCCTGGAGCCAACCACACTGGACACCAGGTTACAGTGTACTTTCTAGTTACATGAGTCAATTCTGGATGCATGTGAGCAATTATTATGCCCCCAATACTCCTAACAAAGCACTATGATTCTCGTAGCATCCGAGATAGGAAACTATAACTACTATGTGGAAATAGCAACACAAAGCAAGACTCAGAAATCGTTTGTGTTTTAAATGTGAAATAATGTGAGCAGTCAGATAAAAATCTAGTCTTAAAAATACAATAATAAAAACAAACAATAATACAAGAGGTACATGGATATAAAGGGGTCACCAACACTCGTAAGGTAGTCTGTTCACCATGGAATGGTCAATCATTCAAGATCAAAAGGGCAACATTTACCTGGGGACAAGGTTCAGAAGGAATACAAACAAGAACCACAGGGAGGAAGTGGGATAACTGTTGTTGCATGGAGGGGATTGCAATCATTGCAATAAAACAAAGTGTCTGATTTGTTGAATGTACAACTGATAGCCTGTTCTGTAAACTTTCACTCAATTCACAATAAAAAGCTGGAAAAGGAAAAACAAAATAAAAAACAACCCCCCAAAAATAATAGAAACGACATCACAAAATTGAGTAATAAAAGATTCCTATCCTCAAAAATTACAGTGTCTAATTGTAATCAAGCCAGTCATTACAATCAATGAAACTTAGTAATTACAATACTAAAAACATTCTTTGGGAGAGAAGATAATATAGTGAAATCAAATTATATATTTTACTTTCTCTGTCTAAATGAATTTGTCTCTTGTAGCAAAGATATAGCTTACATAGAATGTGACTTACAGGAGGGTACTGTGGGTTTCATAGCCAAAAGCAGAGAATGAAAGAGGACTTTTAAAGCTATTGGACAACAGGAGAGGTTTTCTGTAAAACACAGCCAATGGACCTTATGAGTTAATTTGACCTCAAAGTTAACTGTGCAAATTCAGGCAAGAAGAATTGTAAAAGAGAAAGGTTGATAAAGCAGCATAGTTAAAAAAAAAAAAAAAAGGTGTATTTGAAAATACCAAGATTGAAAAAAGGAGCCCTGGTGTCACTGCAGGATAAGCACTAGATTGCTAACTGCAAGGTTGGCAGGTTGGCAGTTTAAATACACTAGCCACTCCTCAGAGAAAGAGGAGGTGTTCTACTCCCAGGGTGACTTGCAGTCTTAGAAATCCCACATACAGTCACTATGAGTCAGAATCGATTCGATGACAATGAGTTTGGTTTTTGAGAGTTTGAAGATTGAAAAAGCAAACAACTTTGCTAGGCAGGCAATTAAAACTCAGATTCAAACAAAATACAACAGCATAATGTAAGAGTAGAACTATAAACCCCAAACCCATTGCCACTGAGGTGATAAGGTTTCCCATACTGTACATCTTTACAGGACGAGATTGCCTCAGCTTTCTTCCTCAGAGCAACTGCTGGGTCGACCTTGAAGTTAGCAGCCCAATGCCTAACCCACAGCATTAACAGGGGTCCTTAAAACTAGAAGTAAATATCACAAATTGTGCAATTTAAAATGTACTTCAGAAAAGAGAAAGGGTAATTGTCCTTCTTGTGGAATTCCAATTTATTAGCATAAATGGTTTATTAACAAGTTGGAATTCCATAAGAAGTTAGTTACACTAATTAGTTTAATGCTATTCAGCATACTTGAAGGATATACAGAATGGCAAATTGAGGCAATTAGAGTTTAGACTGAAAAACTACACACACTTTTAAGAGTCACTTGCATTTGAGTGCAGAAAGTTGGAGGTGAAAGGATATAGAAAAGAAAATTTTTGAGCAAAGTGTTAGATTTTTAACACAAGGTAGGTTATAAGGAGAAAAGCAGACAGTCTACAGATCTGTCAAATGGGAATAGCAGTTATGTCAACAGCTAATTAGGTCCCATACAAGAGATCCAAGCTCCAGTGAGCATTTTTGTGTTTAGTGAATACCCAGTTTAGGATTATCCCTATCCTGAAAATTAAGTCTCAGAAGACCTCTCCTGCTTGCCTTGCAGGGGAATGTCAGTCCCGACACTCAACTGCTTATAGCCCATTTTGTACCCTATTATTTTGCTTCATCTCTTTATCTTTTAAGGAGCCCTGGTAGTATAGTGGGTTACACCATGGGCTGCTACCCACAAAGTCATCAGTCTTTACTACAATATAGACCTTTAAGGGCTGGCCAGCTGGAATTACTAGTTACTTCCAATTTAGAGGCCTGCCTATGAATTTTATGCTTTGGCTATAATAATACCTCTAGATCAATTTGATGTCATTTTGAATTTTGTTTTCTGCATGATTACAAATTCACTTTTCCTTCCACTTTACTAGAAAAGTGTGTAATAAAAGATCATAGTGGTGGTGGCTGTATGCCATGGCATCAGTTTCCGAGGCTGTGATTCTTTATGGGAGCAGAAAGTCTCATCTTTCTCCCAGAGAGCACCTGGTGAATTCCATAAGCACCATGTTGTTGTTGTTAAGTGTCACTGTGTTAGTTCCAACTCGTAGTGACCCTGTATATGGTTTCTGAGGAGCAGCTGGTAAGTTTGAACCACCAACCTTGTGGTTCAAACCGACTTTAAAGTCAAATGCTTATCTACAGCGTCATACCAGGACTCCCATAAGTACTACTGTTGTTGCTATGTGCCATCAAGTCAGTTCTGATCCATAGTGACACTGTATAGGGTTTCCAAGGAGCACTATAGGAATCCAATAGTCAACAGTCAAAAAGAAAGGTAGCTTCATTAAAGTATACAAGAAGGATACACAGGATGAAGACAGTTAGACATTATCAACTCATCTTTTATCTTGTAGACCAGAGTTCAATCTCTTGCTTACCTAATCATTTAGGAATACTATTTGTACAATTTATTATTTAAAATATACTACTTAAGCTACGGAGTCCTGGTGTGGCACTGTGGGTTAATGCATCAAACTGCAAAGCCGTGTGAACTGCAAGGTCGGCGGTTCAAGCTCACCAGCTGCTCCTTGGAAATCCTATACAGTGTTGCTATGGGTCGGCACTTGACAACAACAACAACAACTTAAGCTATAATGTTCATTCAATGTATTTTCTTCCCTTTTTAGATTAGGGAGTCTAAACTAACAATGTTTAAAGATAAGTTGACGCGACACAGGGTCATGGCGTCTACTTATTAGTGTAATTTAAACTTTTCAGAATTAGGCTTTAGAACCAGTCCTACTTAAAACTTGATAAAATGCTTTCTTGGAATTAAAAACAAACAAACAAAGCTCTATTATTATGACATAGCTACTAACCTGGTTTTTCTTGTGACTGTATCATTGAAGGTACTCCATATCTTTCTTTAGCATAATCCTACAAAAAAACTTCTGCATGACTTTCTATTCGAAAACAAACATGGTACACAAATAAATACATCAATAGAATGTAAAAATGAATCCATTTTCTGAATCATTTTATTTGTCAAGTTTTCAAGTGCAGAAATCTGTCACACTTCATTTATACTTGTAAAGTGCCCAGATTTTATGATTTGTGAGTTTGTTTTGAAGATTAACACTTGTGGATGGATATATCACACGTAGTGGCACTCTCAGATAAAATTTATGCACATGTACAACACAATTTAACTACCTTCTTCAAAAAGGAGATTAAACTACTTCAAAGCAGGGATATAAATTTCCTCTCGAAGGGAGTAAGATGAAGTACCAGTTTTATTAACTTCCTATTACAGGAAGAGATGTTCAAAGAGAACTAACGTTTTGGGTAAGTTTGCTGAACACCAGATGGTCTACTTTTGAGAAATCAGAGATGCTGGATGTAAGCAAGCTACAATTTTCCTTTTGTAAAACATCATCAAAAAATTCACCAGCTTGTTACTAAAAACCAGCATCTGCATATTTGCACTGATGGAACAGTATCAAAATTCTTGTTAGAGATATATAGCAGGGAACAAAAAATGGAGGCCTAGGTCCAGACTATTATTAATAGGCTATACTTTTAAATAAACAAGTGGCTTTAATTTTAATTATTTTCTAACATGGCCTCTTAAGATCTTTGTAGCTATAAAATGATATAACTCTACCATAATCTACACATTACATCTGCAAGGGTGCAATTTAAATTATTAATGAATCCTATTTTCTTAATATATAAGTTAATTTAATATCTATCAACTTGCCACTGTATAGCAACCTGTTGGAATCATCTCCTTTAGATCTGAACAATATTGAATTTTGTGTTAATACCAAAATAGACAAACATGATATGGGCTGGACATTTTTTTAAACATAAAAATTATACACCTTAAGAGCAAAGATATCTGGTCCTTAGTAGAGAGACAGTCACATTAAGTAATATGAGGGCAGCATCAATAAAGTGTGTGAAAATAAAAAGGTGTCACCCATTCTAACAAATATTGTTCTTTTTCAGTAAACCTTATTCCATTTAGTATTCTGAGCTGATCTATTCCCAGTGCAAAAACACAAATCAGAATGCCTCAATAGAAAAATTAGGAGCCAGGCAGGGATTTAATATTCCTGGAGCACACAACTTGTAGGATGATTTCAAACATTCATTTCTGAAAAGCACCACACTGAAGGGCCACCGGGTGCTGTGAATCACCACGTGATTGAGGGTCACTTAATCTCAAATGCATTCTCTGCAACCTTCCCTACCTACCTCACTGGGTCACTGAGTGGCAGAAAAGAAGTAACATAAATGACACGTGTTCTTTAAAGCTGCCCCATTGAAAATGGTCATTAAACAAACTGGCAGATCGTTTTTTGCTAAGTACTTCCAAAGCATTAGCACCACGAGGACTGAGTAAATAGCCATTATCAAGGGAGATCCAAATTTTTCCGGGAGAAGAGTAATTACGTGAAAAACGTGCCTAACACTGGGAGAAGGTTTAAGTGAGACCCCGTGGCTGCTACTTCCGGGTCGGTTGCTGCTTCACGCTACCCTACCCCAGATACACGTTTCTGGTGAGACAGGACTTCCAGGCCTAGGAATCCCTGAGATAAAATGCAGTCCAGAAAGAGTATGGACAAGCAGTTCGCTCAAGAGTCCTGGAGGGCCCGATGGAAACTATGGGTGCCTAGGCAGCAGACCTGCAGCTTGCCTGAACAGGGACCCCAAAGACAGGGCCCCTTTCACCATACTCCCTTTATCAACGTTGTCCGGTCCTGGGGTCTATCTTCCCAAGCCCGAGAAAGGGGAAACCCACTTCCGCCGCGTCCATGATCTCCCGCGGCTTCTCCTGTCCCTTGCGGCTGGCGTTGGCGCTGGGCATCAGGACAACTGGACGAGTTAGCAGCAAGGACAGTAGTTACCACCCCGCCTTGTAGGCTTCCGTACAGCAGGCCCAGGGGGTTCTCCCACCCGCTCAGTCTCCGCCCTCCCGGTACAAACGGACACCGCGTGGGGGAAGCTGCTCCTGAAACATCGCGAGAATCATAGCTATCTCGAGCACCTGGAACACCAACTCCTCTTCCTTTTGTCCCGCCCCCACGATAATTTGCAAATTGAAGGGAATCCCTGGGAATTCGTTAAAGTCCCGCGAGAGGGATTCCAAGTTGAATGGGAATTTCAGAGTAAAACAGCATGCGCGTTGCAGACTGTGGGCTTCGGCTCCGTGACTCTTCATTTCTGTGCCACTTGAGGCTTCTGCTTCACCCCACTTCCTGCCGTCACTCCCCCTTTGGATTTTAACCGCAGACTATTCAGTAAAACACCCATCCAGGCCCGGCCTCTGGTTTTCCTTCGTTGAACTTCCTGCCCAGTGTCGTAGGAGGCCTCTTCACAGTTCGTTGGAACATAGTGTTGGGTTTTAGGTAGTTCGTTTGTTGTCGCGGAATAGCGTCCCGGTATCCAAGTGATGTAGCCCTTGTGTGGCGCTGTAGAATAAACACTAGACCACAGGTCGGCGGTGCCAATACCAGCTGCTCTTCCGAAACCCTATACAGGGTCACTATGAGTCTCAATCCACTCAACGTCACTTAACAACAACCCATAAGAGCTTTGGTAGGGGTTCCAGGGAGTAAAGACCTAACCATCTGTTCCCTTGAAAATTATAGCGTAAAAATCCTTATTGGGCAGTGATGTGAATCACTATGGACTCCATGGAGCACAACAACCCTAGTGAAATACCATAAACACTCCCCCAACGCATTTGCACCGATGCCTAGACCTGCTCATTGTTAGAAGTAGCACATAGTCTTGGCTGTTCAAAGGATGAATCTGCCCAAGTTAATAGATCTTGACTGAAAGTTGGGAATACCAGAAAAAATATTGACTTGTGTTTTAATGACATACAAAGGCATTTGACTGTATGCATTATAACAAATTATAGATAACATTGTAAAAAATAGAAATTCCAGAGCACTTCAATGTGCTCATGTAGATCCTGTACTCAGACCAAGAGGCAGTATAGTTCAAAGTTAGGTGTAATCAAGTTGTTTTCCACTCAAAGACCCTGCTATGCTCAACAACAGTATGAAACACTGTCCAGTACAGTGCCATCCACACAATTGTTACATTTGAGTCTATTGCTGCTGTCATTGTGTCAGTCCACCTTGTTGGGGATCTTTCTGTTTTTTGCTGACCTTGTACTTTACCAAGCATGATGGTCTTCTCCAAGGACTGGCCACTCCTGATAACATGTCCAAAGTATGAGAGACGAAATCGTACCATCCTGATGTCTAAGGAGCACTCTGGCTGTACCTCTTCCAACACACATTTGTTGGTTCTTCTGGCTGTCCATGGTACTTTTAATAATTTTCTCCAATAGCATAAAAAGGAATCGATTCTTCTACCATCTTCCTTATTCATTTTCCAACTTTCACATGCATTTGAGGCTACTGAAAATACCATGACTTGGGTCAGGCACACCTTAGTCCTTAAATTGACAGCTTTGCTCTTTAACCCTTTGAAGAGGTCTTGTGCAGCAGATTTCTTGACTGATGTTTCTATGGATGTTGATTGATTCAAGCAAAATGAAGACTTTGACCATCTTTTCTCCATTTATTATGATGTTGTTTGTTGGTCTAGTTGTGAGGATTTTTGTTTTCTTTGCATTGAGGTACAATCCATATCAAAGCTGTAGTCTTTGATCTTCATCAGTATTTTAAGTTCTCTTCACTTTCAGCAAGCAAAATTGTATCATTTGCATATTGCAGGTTGTTAATGAGTCTTCCTCCAACCCTGATGCCACATTCTTCATATAATTCAGCTTTTGGATTATTTGCTCAGTATACAGATTGAGTAAGTATGGTGAAAGGATACAACTCTAGGGAATCTGCAATCAATGCCCAGGAAAGCAGCAGCCAGGAAATCAAGCCATGCATTGCATTGGGCAAATGTGGTGCAAAACAGAAGTGTGACATCATGCTCGGTAAAGTAGAGGGTCAATGAAAAAGAGGAAGACCCTCAATGGGATGGACTGACACAGTGCTTGCAACAGTGGGCACCATCATTCTCATGATTGTGAGGATGATGAAGGACTGGGCAGTGTTTTGTTCTTTGTATATAGGGTCATTACAAGTCAACCAATTCGACAGTACTCAACAACAACAACATTCATAAGCCCTTTTCAGCAATTGAAAGTAATGAAGGCTTGGTGATATGCTGTTTCCTCTGCTATAGTTTGTTGCACTCTGTCAAAGTCTCATTATGTTAGTCTTAGACTAGCATAGATGGGCATAATCAGTAGTTGTTAAAGAGTGCTAATGGACCTCAGTACAAATGAAAGACTCCTGGAGGGTCCCTCGTTCAGGACCTGGAATACAATATGAGAAAATGGACATGATCTCTGCCCTTTGGAGCTTACAAGCTGCAAGGGTGGTACATGCTATGAAATGTTTATTATCTGGTACTGTCTTAATTATCTAGTGCTTCCACAACAGAAACATCACAAATGAATGGCCAGAAATCTATTCAGTCAGAGTTTAGGAGACTAGAAGTCCAAATTAAGAGTCCAAACTAGAAGTCCAAGCTCTTGAAAAAGGCCCCTGCCTTCCTTCCACATCTGTCATGGAGCAGGCACTCCAGCTTCAAAGGCTGCATTCTACTCCTGGATTTCTATGTCAGTGGTAGTAGGTCCATTTGAGATCAGCTCACTTCTTTCTCCTTTTATATCTCAAAAGAGTCTGACTCAAACTCAAAGGGAACCCGTGAGCAGACTTATAAACTCACTGGTGACTTTGTCTACTTGTGAGAGGAAGTTAGGGAGATACAGCAGTGAAGTTGGGCAGAGTTCAACTGTATTCAATAGACACCCGTTGACCTTGAGATGAAAGAGATAAGAGGAAGGGCTGGCTGGTTAGAAGTTTAGGGAGACTTGAGAACTCCCGAGCCCATGGACACTGACCTAGCCACTGGGGGTAGAGCTGAGAGTGAAGTGGCCAGCTGGTCTGAAAGTGGGGAGGATGGCAAGAAAGCCCAAACTTGCAGATAGTACCCATTTGACCTGGTTTAGATGGCTTGCTAATCAGAACTCGACTAGAGGAAGATAAAGAAGTTTGATTCAGGAAGCAAGTGTAAATTGCTATAATTTGATGAACTGGACCTTTGCTCATGGATGTACTTGTTCAAAATTCTAACGGAGAGGAAAGGATTCTTCACATTAAGGATCAAGCCTGTCTTCTCAGTATACAGGTTTGACAAGGATGGGCACCTTATACATTAGCTACCAAAATTGCGGAGGAGCTCTGGTAGCGTAGTGGTTACGAATCAGGCTGCGAACCTTAAGGTCAGTGGTTCGAAACTACCAGCCACTCCGTGGGAGAAAGATGAGGCTTTCTACTCCCGTAAAGATTTACACCCTCAGGAACACCCTCGGGAACAGGGTCACTATGGGTCGAAAGCAGCTCGACGGCACTTAACAACAACAAAGGCACAAAGAAGGAGCTCTGGTAGCATAGTGATTACGAATCGGGGCTGTGAACCGCAAGGTCAGCAGTTCGAAACTACCATCTGCTCCGCGGGAGAAAGATGAGGCTTTCTGCTCCTGTAAAGATTTACAGCCTCGGAAACCCTGTGCGGGATGGCTATGGGTTGGAACCGACTCGATGGCACTTAACAACAACAACAACAAAGGCACAAAGTGGCTGGTTTACAAGCTTTCAAAAGTGTGCTTAGTTTCAGAATGATGGGGGTAAGGTAGAATCCCCGCTGAATAGTTTTCCTTTTGTCTAGATGGAGCTAGTGAAAGGGGATAGGGGAGGATGGGAGTAGGACCCTTTTGATTCAATAGTGAGCTATTGTTATCATGACTAATTACGATCGTTACAACTATAAAGGTAGAAGATGTGTAACAAAAAGGGGGAGTAGTTAATCTTACATTCTAGGACCATCAAGAGGGAAGAGCATGAGCAGAGTATGGAATCCTAACCAGAGAAGCAATTGACACCAGAGACCAAAGCATAGAGAGAGTAGCTGAGTACTCTAGACCCATGGATTGAGAAAGGCTGTGTACCTGAGGGCAGGAGGTTGGCTTGCAAAATGTACCCTTTGACTGTTTAAATGAATGTATATTTTCTGTGTGCTTTGTGTATATAAAAAAAAAAAGAAAAGAAGGAATAAAGGTAAACATTGTTAACCAATGGTGCATGGAGGGGATTGTAATCATTGCAATGAAACAAAATATGATTGGTCGAGTGTAAAATTGATGTCTGCCCTGAAAATTATCATTTAATTCACAACAAAAGCAAAAAAAAAAAAAAGAGAGAGAGAGAGAGAGCATGAGAGATACTGCCTCATCCTGTAGATTGCATCTGACCTCATTGACATCATAAAAGTGAGGATTTACAGCACACAGGATCATGACTGATCACATCAGCACCCTAGGGTTGATTACATCATATGCGATCTCATCATGGAGGTGATGACTACATCTTAACTGCAAAACCACTGAGAATCCTGCATCATGGAGGTGATGACTACATCTTAACTGCAAAACCACTGAGAATCCTGGTCCAGCCAAATTGACACAAACCTTAGCTATCACAGATACTAAGAACGTATTTCTTTGGATGTCTTTCCCTTGCAGAATCTTGTGCAGAAGAGCAGTTTGGGTTACAGATAAAGATGGGTGAAACACCTGCAGATAGATGGTCGCTGATGCTCTGGTCAGGGCTGAGCTTGCCTAGGGAATGAATATAGCGTGAGAAGTGAAGCCTGCAGATGAGGCTATAGGAGTGCCAACATCCAAGGTCACGTAGAGGCGAGAAGAGGATGAACTTGCAAAGGAGACAGACAGGAAGCAACTGGAGAGGTTCCTAAAATGTTTCACAGGCAAAGAAGAGATTGCCACAAAAAGAGATTGTCTTCATTAACTAGCCCTTGTGGCATAGTGGGTTACAAGTTGAGCTGCTAACTA